TTACAGCTGCAACAGGCACCTGTTTCGACAGTCGCTTCAGTTGATCGCTTTGAGCCCATCAAAACCCTCTTAGTCGTACATTCTCATTTTTGACCGATGATAATCCCCATCAATGAGTGCTAATGCAGCGGCAATTAACAGGCCATACGTTCAATTGGCTATAAAGCACGATTTGCATTGATGGGCGCCGCCGAAGGGCTTAAGCAAGTCACACGAGCTCAAGTCGGATTCCGGGTCCAGAGTGAATCAGAATCATTACAGGATATCCACCAGGGATTAGCGCTGCACTACTACAAGTGTGTATTATGTGTTGTGCAATTACTCATGAGGGGCCCGTGGGGCTGGGGACTGGGGACTGGGAACTGGGACAGAGTTGAATTCAAGTTGCCCCAACATTAAATGTTGCAATAAGAAAGTAGCTGGAGTGCACTCTCGGGTCGCCTCGCCTATTACTCCTGCTAATGGCGTGCAATCCCGGCGCAATCCAGACGCAGGTGGGCGAACACTTAAATGAAACACCCGCTAGCACTCGGGGCAATTCATTTCATTTCATTTTCGGCCCGGACGGAGCCAATGGATGTGGCACAACAGCAAACGGCAACAGCAAATCCTCAAAGTGCAGCGGCCGTGACAGCCGCACTCCGCCCTTTTGGCCACTCCCGAAATTGCAGAAAAGGCAGCATGAAGATGTGTGTGCCCAAGAGTTTCACTTGAGAGTGCTCAAGGATTTCCTTGTTGTGGAATTCCCCAAATGTTGTGGAAATTCACTAACGGACACCTGACTTGTCCCGCCATCTCGAGTACTTGTTGTCGTTGGGTCCAAACGGGACCCATTTGGTCCAAAATCTGAAAGAAATGAGATAACATAACAAAAACCAATCCAAAGTGAAGCGATCTCGGTATATAATTTGATTTCAATAATTGCTCTGCTATCATGTGAGCTTTTGCGTTCTACTTGATGAAGCGGGCATTCTGCAGTTGCTCTACGACGAGAGCAATGCGTGCATCTATTAAACTACTTTCGCCATGTGCCTGTGAGGGTTCGTTCAATGTGTTATCTTCCACATCCATTTCTTCGTGGTTATCCTGCTGTGTGTTTTGCATGATGACTTCCTCACACTGCACACCGTAGTAAGTCATTTGCTCAACGCTATCAGTGTCATCATCTGATATTGCCAGCATTGTGGGACTAAGCGAACTCATCGGAGAACTTCCTCCGACACTCTGCGAAAGTTGATCTTCAAACAGAACTCTGCAAGTGGTTCTCTGCGAAAGGCCGTACACTTCCGAATGCATTTCGTCACTCTGCCAATCGTCAGGCAGCTCGAATTGATGGGAGAAGTCGTCGTCGATATCTTGAGTCCAATTGAACCTTGATTGTGGGCCTAAAAACGATTCAGAGGGACCAGCTGAGACATCAAATGCCATAGGCTCGTGCTGGCTATGGCTCTGCAGTGATTCTTCGAATTCCTGGTAAGACAGCAGCTCGAAATGATGGGAGAAGTTACCCGCGATCTCGTCATCGATATCTTGAGTCCACTTGAACCTTGATTGTGGGCCTAAAAACGATTCAGAGGGACCAGCTGAGACATCAAATGCCATAGGCTCGTACTGGCTATGGCTCTGCAGTGAATCTTCGAATTGATTGTAAGACGTCATTGCCTCTTCGTTGCTTTTGTCTTCCCTCAATCTGCGGAAATATAATCTTTAATCAATTACACTTACTTAGCTTACTACAATTGAAACCACCTGCAAACGTTTGCCCTTTGTTTTTGCACAATTTTCTGCAGCAGGCTGAGAATTTGGGAGACTTGAGACTTGCCTTGAAATGTACCCAAATGGCCGAACACTTCCGAATGCATTTCGTCACTCTGCCAATCGTCAGGCAGCTCGAATTGATGGGAGAAGTTACCTGCGATCTCGTCATAGATATCTTGAGTCCACTTTAACCTTGATTGTGGGCCTAAAAACGATTCAGAGGGACCAGCTGAGACATCAAATGCCATAGGCTCATGCTGGCTATGGCTCTGCAGTGATTCTTCGAATTGATTGTAAGACGTCATTGCCTCTTCGTTGCTTTTGTCTTCCTTCAATCTGCGGAAATATAATCTTTAATCAATTACACTTACTTAGCTTACTACAATTAAAACCACCTGCAAACGTTTGCACTTTGTTTTTGGACAATTTTCTGCCGCAGGCTCATCTACCCATATACATATGCACGTGCAAGTGTCGCGAGAGTTGGGTAATCGTTTATATTTACGCAGTTTTTACCTTTTATACGCCAATTTGCACTTTTTTTGCGCAGTTTTCACAATTTGCAATGCAAATGCAACAATGTCCGTTTCAGCACTTTCCAACACTTCTAATTTGTTGGCGATTTTTCATTGGTTGAAAGTTGAAAACGCGTAAAAGGTCGTAAAAGGTCGCAAAAAGTATTAAAAGTATTAAAAGTATTTACTTTTGAGTATTTATTCCAACGTAATTGGCGGGAACGGTATGTAAATAGGAAGAATCTTGAACATTACGATCTTCAAGACAATACGTACTTGATTTAAAGCAATACAATTGAGAGGAAAAACAATAATAAAATTAAAAAAAAGTTTTTTAAATTGAATTTTATTTAGTTATCTGATCGAGGCACTAGGCGAGTATTTGTCAAACATGCTTCCGGGCATTTTTGATGTCCTGACCTTTTTGTACAGTCTCTGCGCAAAAGCCACACTCTAGGCATACGTATGGCTTTTCAATAAGATAGCAAGCCTTAGTTCGTCGTATTTTGTTGCTGCGGAACTTGCCGCAATGATCGCAGTGTAGGTAGGAGCTAGGTAGCGGGTTTTTCACACCTGAATTTGTATTGGAACGCAACGCTCAGTGCTGTAAAATGGCAGCCGGCGTTGAGTTGATTGAGGCTGAAACTTATTGGAATCGGCTTGTGGCGTGGTGGGGTGGGTGCTGTGGAGACGCGGCTTTGGTGGTATTACCCATTGATTTCCTTGGTTTTCGTAATCACGGATTTCCCCACACACAGCTTAATTTTGCTGCAGCTTGCTGAGAAGGGGAGGATTTGTAGGTGGCACCGATTGCGAGTCGTTGGAGTATAATAAATTTGTGTGTGCCACCGACAACCTACACTCTCACAAATTAATTAAAATGATTGGCCCGCTCCGGCGAATGCTTGGCTGTCCCTGCCCCTCTTCCCATGTTCTTCGCCTTGCTGCCAGTTCCCTGGAGTTGCACCCATACGCGCACACGTGCCACAGTTATGTAGATAAGCGTGTGTGTTGCAACTGGCGGAGATGAACGCCGTGTGGAATGTTCACATGCTCGGGAAGCGCTCGACATTGGCGACGTGTCGCACGCAATTAGCAAAGTAAGCTTAATGTGGTTTCACTTGAATTACTTGCGAGTGGAAGTGGCTCTGGCTGTGGCACTGGGGCAGAGTCAGCCATGGGGCATTCCTAGATGGCGCAGCTGCCGCACGCTCTGTCGTGCTCTGCCGGCTCATCAATTGCGACTACAGCAGACAGCAGACAGCAGACGGAAGACGGCAACTGGCAACTGGCAACCGGCATCCGAGGCGGTGCCACACACTCAACTTCATTTATTTTACTCAAATTTCAAACTGCAACGAATGCACTTGCAGCGGCAGCATTAAGGAGAGAGGTGATGGCACTGCCACTGGGACTACTCCTGGCTCTCGCAATCCCATGGCAATTCCTCGGTGTGCAGTTGGCGGTGGAGGTGGTAGTGTGGCGTGTGGCCCACAAACACGGCCATATGCCATCGATTTTGGGCGATGCGCCAGAGAAATACCAGGACCAGGCCATGCGATAGAATCGCATCCGCGGTGGCAGGTCTGTTCACTCAATTGCATATTTTGCAAACCAGTTCAGCGTCCCAATTTCGATTTGATGCTTGTCTGCCTTTCGTTCTGTTTTATTTTATTGCCTGATCCTCTGTTAATTGTTTAGGCTGGTGTTTTCCAGCAACACAAAATATGCGAATGGGATTGCAATTTGGTTAGTTTTCAGCATTCCCAATGGGTTGTTACTTTCTTCAGTTTTGGTGGCCATTGAGTTGCTGTTGCTTCCTGCATAATGGTTGATGTTTGCAGTACAAAGCCTCAGTTTGGACTCCCAGTCCCACTCGATTCTCGGATTGCTTTTGGTTCCTTCCTTTTGGTCCACACCTTAAAGTGTTTCCAGAATCACTTTTCGGGGTGTGTGTGTGTGTGTGTGTGGAAGACGAAAGTGTCACACACACAATTACACTCATTAGTCGTCGCTTTTTGCTCAGTCAGCCGACAGTCATGCCTTAGAATACAATAGGGAATAAAGAAAATTCTTCTAATTGTCGCCCAAGTGCACTGTCTCTGTCTCTCCCTCCCTCTCTCGTCTGTCTGTCCGTGACTTCTCCTTATTTTTGTCATTATGCATGCAGGAGCAATGTACAATGACACACGACAAGGGCAGACTTGTAGTATTTTTTGTTTTTAAACACTGAAAGGGAGTGTAGTCCAAGAGCAGACCCACTTTCCGGCGATGGCCCTGCCCTGTCTGCGGCTCTGCACGTTTGCAATTTGGACACACCGCTTTTTTAGGCTACGTGTTTCAGTTCCTGGTACTTCGAAATTTTCTCACTTTGATTATACTCTGCTTCGGCTAGAGTTGGGCTGGAGAGGGGACATTAATGAAGAGCACAAACATCGCTCCTAGAAGCGTTTAATTTTAGGCATTTTATTTAGATCTTAGGCACTTTAACTGAAATGAAAAGTATTCAAGTGCTGGTGGTCAATTTTATCCTCACGACAAAAGAAGAAAGTGCACATTTGCCTAATGAATTTTATTCGAAAATTAAATAGCGCGCTACTTTGGGTAATATTTCCCCCCGATATATCCCCCCGATATATTTACAATATAGAAATTGCTTCTCTGACTATCCCCGACTCTAATGTCATAAGTTTGGTTTTTGTTTTTTTTTTTTTTGTAATAAAAAAGTTTAAAATCTTGTTGAGTGCTTTGTAATTTTGACATTCTTAAGCTGCGCTGCTCTGGAAGTAAGTGAAGCATAGCTCTATGCTGTGACGAATATTGGTTTGATACGATAATTTGCAGCACTAAAAAGGAAAATGTATAAATCGGCAAACGCTCATCCCCACACACCGGTCATCAGTGCATTGTATATGAAGGATGGCTGCACGTACTCACACTTTGTGAAGAAGACGATACATCTATCCGGCGTCCGCTTGGAGCAGGGAAAGTCGGCCCAACTCTGGCTAAAGAGCAAAAGCCAGGAGAGAGTGCTGGCCAATATGTCGGAGCGCACTCCGAAAGTTCCCCTGGACAGCGAAATTCACACGGGCGACAAGCTTTATCTGGAATCCAATGGTCATGTGATTGTAAATCTAAAGGGAAGCATGCGCGACTTCGACCACTCCAAGGGACCCTTTCGCATGGATGATTGCTTCAAAAACACCATAAAGTGGGTGAAGTGTGAAGTCCCCACTGAAAACCCATTCGTATAAATTTGTCGAATTGCACACACTTTCCACGCACTTGTACCAAGACACCACAAATCGGCATCATATCAATCGATCAACACAAAATCTCATATACAAAAATTTGAATACATGAAACCTATCGAGATTACGAATCTATGGGTGGGACAGCCCTCCTTGCGGGATCAGCAATTGTGCCAGGCTTACTGGATGCAGAAGTAATATTTCGGTGAAACCATTGAACTATTGAATACCGTCTAAAGTTAAGTCCAAGAATGGTTCTTGTTTATTAAATTGTACAACATTTACAGATTCCTCCCATTGAACGGCTTTCCAATAATGATAAGTTTAATGATTTAGCTTGTGTGATCTTCATCAGCATGATGCTCAAGAGACGAATGACGAATGGGTGACTGGCTGGGGGACTGCTGCTTCGAGGTATCCGATATCGATTGCCAGTAATTTCTATTTGGTGCCTTGATTAGGCCTAGCGATTGTGTTTTTGATAGTGTCCAAGTACCTATATAAATCTGACATTTCTGTATGGGATGAGAGGGTACAGAAGAATATAATCGAATGTTGATTTGGTTACGGGATGGGGTCGAAGAACGCTTACCTTTGTCATGGCGTTTCTTGGCATCCTGTAGGGCTGTTGAGCCTGGGAATTGGAAAACTGCCATTTGATTTTGTTTGGTATCCAGCTCACGTGGGAACAGAGGCTGCAGACTGGGCGGCTTTGGTTCGCCCAGATATTGCACAGGCAAGTGCGGGGAGGAGGGACCGGGCGATCGGGAACGTTCACGTCTATGCCGGGTTGAATTGTGGTGGGACGATGGGTCAGGTTGCCTGCGGCTGTCGAAACGACGACGAGATCCACTCGATCGGGAACGGGAACGGGAACCGGCATTTTGTTTTTGGAACGGCAACACCACAATATTCGTGTCACCGACTTTTCTTCCGTTCATGTGATCGATGGCCCGTGTGCAGTCGCTTGGGCATACAATTTTTGTATTTCGCTCCGACATTTTTTTTTAAAACAAAACTGAACTTCACGCACTGGTTTCTGATGCCACAATGAAAATATTTAAAGTTTGACTGACAATATGTGTTGATGGAGAGGCAAGGCACACTTTGGTCGTTCACAACATTCGTAACCATCGAAAATGGTTTATTCTTTTGGCATTTGTTTGGGTGCCGCATGTGGTAAATGTCGATTCCCTTAAGCTGGTCACCACACGTAACAAAAATATTACAAGAATAATTAAAGCACAATTTTAAAGCCTCCTTGGGAAATGGATATATTTGTGAGTCCACTAGCAGTTGAACGGCATCAGACCATGTTTTTTTATTGTATTATTCGACTCAGTTCGGACATTCATGGGACATCGCAATCACGTCTAAATAATCGCTTTGCTCGGCTGCTTACAAAGTGATGTCTTTGTGTGGGTAAGTGGGAGCTGTTTATAGGCTGCCGGCTCGCGATCGCCAGGACCCAGTGACCCAGGATGTATAGGTTCTTGGTGCAGTCCTTGGTGGACTCGCTTCCCTCAGGGTAGTCACATGGTAATGGTAATATTTGGTCATATTCTGTATGTAGTTCCATGAATTTCAGCCTTATCTTAATGTTAGATAATCTTTTTCCAAAGCTACCTATCAGATCGATTTGCAGTAATTTTCAGCTGGGAGTCGCTTTGCCCACTTGGAATATAGTCAGGCAACATTCCGTGGAGTGCTGTTGTGTTGGTTTGCTGCAGTTGGTGCCGTTTAGTGCTGCCATTACCTCTGCTCCCTGGCCATTTTCCTGGTTTAGCTATTGAAGGGCATTTTGTTGGCCCTTGGCCACAGATTTGCACGAACACTGAAGCACCATTCGCCCGAAAGCGTATGTTCATATGTATATATGAATGTATGTAGGTACGTCAGGTGTATCTGTGAGTGCTTTGCTTGGCAGGATGTGGATGGGAGGTCCGCGGGGAATCTGACGTGTGAGCTGCGTAAAAATGTTCAAACATTTGAATATATCTGCGTTTCAGATGTGTGCTCGCATTTTCTCTGTCTGTGGGTGTTTATGTATGGCAATCCGAGTAAAAATTACATTAGTGGATGGATCACAGGGAGCCGCGCACTCAGCTGACGGCTGGATTCCCAACGAGGGAATCAAAGTCATGTTTGACAAGGAAACTCCATTAAAAATGCAACTTTTGAATATTCCGGCGCTGAATGAGCAAACAAACAACGAAACAACTGAACTGAATCACCGACAGCCACAGCCACAGGCACACCCACAGCCACAGCCACAGTCACGGATAAAGCAATAGCAAAAGCAACAGTCTGCCCGTTAATATTACTGCTGGTTTTTACAGCCAAACTTACAGCTGGACGCGGCCACAGTTGGGGGAGGGGCACGTAATGTGGCAGCCTTTTTTGGTCCTCCCAACCCCCAACCCCACAAGACTGTGTTGTCTTTGTGATAAATGACCACTCCATAAATTTTTATTTCTGCTCAATCTCAATCTTCTGCCCAATCTCTCGAGCGAACTGCGTCGCCGTGGCACCGGACTTGGCTCCGTTTCCATTTCCCTTGCTTCCTTCTTGTCGGCGGTCAGTTTTATGGAGCCCTTTTCCGCAGCCAAGTTGTTTTTCAAAGTATCGCAAAGTTGTCTGTCGTGTCGGATAGAGCAGTACGAGATTGAGTACAAGCATTCACAAGTATGAGCACCCCGCAGGCGAAGAATGCATGCAAATTGATTGCAGTGCCTGGCGGAAGGGGAAAGTGGGGAAACCAAATAAATGAAAGTACTGGCCATTGACATGCTCATTGCCATTTTTTGTTGTCTACCGGGTTGGCCCTGCCATAGTCGTTGAAGTGTTTATTGTCCTGCCATAAGCATCGATGTCCATAATGAACAAGATGTAAACAAAAGACAAACTTGAAGACGTTCGGACATCCCAAATGCTACAAAGTATAACAAAGGTGTTCCGTAATAAGTTTTTTCTTTGATGACGCGTGGTGGGTTCAAGATTGCGAGAGGCGAGTGTGTGTGCCAGTCAAGGGCAGGTAGAGGGAATTGCGCGAGAGCGATTGCTAGATCGAGCAACGCAAAGAAAGAGAGTAGCAAAGGGAAGACGCGAGAACGTAGCTGTAACTGCATGGGGCTGCTGCTGTGCGGGAGCGTACACGAACATAGATTACAGTGGGCAGTGCATATGAAAAAGTATGTGTAATATAATTAACTTTGCTGCTTCACCACTGACTATAGTCTATGCATTACTGCTTGAGACACGTGTGTGTGTGTGTCTTTCTTAGAGTAAATAATAAATGTTTGGTTTTATTTAGTACAAAAAATACTTTTACAATCAATTATGTTGTTCTAGGATGGAGCATCCCAACGAGTCCCTCACTCCCACTGTATTGCTTAAGAGTCCAACCCACCCTACACGCTTAACTGTATTCTTAAGTTCGTTCGCTTTGTTGCTGTTTTTTTAAGGCACTCTCTAGCGCTCGCTCTGTCCCTCCCTCTATCTTTGTACTACATATCTGAAATTCAAGAGTAGTTTATCATATTATCTTGTTGTTATCATACTTTCTGCTCTCCTCGCTTCATGCATTATACAGCAGCTTCATCCACTCTCGATCTCAGTTTAAATCGGTGTTGCCATAGAAGTTTTGAGTCATTTGTAGTCTTCTGGGTGACTCCTCATGGTGTCGTCCGGCCAGCGGTGTCTTCCTTCCCCACTGCCCTGATATGTCCTGCTATGTCCTGCGTTTCCATTTCCTTTTCTTTCGATTCGTTTCGCTTTTCTTCTGTGGCGTGCGGCTTTCTTTTATTTTTCGCTTCTCTCTGTTATTTCCAGGACGTGATTGGAGCCGGGGCCAGGCGGTAAATTGTAAGCAGACGTTCAACGCACGTCTGCGCCCATAAATCAATTACAGAGCTCATGGAAAAAGCCGCCACTGCCACCGCCACCGCCACAGGGCGTGGCAACATCCTACAACTGTCGATGGTGTGTGTGCCGCTCGTACTTTTAATGCTCCCTAGATAAGGATAAGGCCTTGTGAAAGCGAAAATTTTTAACGCAATAAAGAGCAACCTGCACTAGCCCGGGCTCACGAAAATTTGAAAACTTTTTTAATACTTTGTCTGTCTGTCTTCCACGAGAAAAAGCCTTGAGAGCCGAGAGCTGAGTCCTGAGTCTTGAGAGGTGGCAGCAAGCCGCAGGCCGTGGCAAGCTGCTTGGATTTACCGCATTACATGCCAAAAACTATGTGCATACAGGGAAACTTTAAGTGGAGGCGCCCCAAGATTCCCAATAAGCTTAAACAGTTCCTGCAATCGCGCGGATGATGGCGGGCTGATGCCTGTGCAGGGGGTGGGAATGAAGATACGATAGTTTTGGGTAAAGTCATCCGCTTGGCTGCTTCCATTATTGATTGTTGCCCAAATGCGTTCCGATCTAAACAAACATTGCCCCAGATTCGAGTCGTGGTTCCTCGCCGCCATTATTGATTGATTGACGGTTGTGCTGCTGCTGCTGCTGCTGCTGCTGCTGCTGCTGGTGGTGTGCCAGGACTCACTGACTGACTGAGTGCCTGCTCGTCTGACAAATTGTCGCCTTGATTGATCGCATCATCGTTTGCCAGACATTCGCTGGCACTTTCCATTTCAATGGCAGCTTAAATATTCAGGGGACTCCATCAACTGCTCTGCTCAGCTCAGTGCTGGTATCTGCCATCTCGACTCTGTTTAATTCTGATTTTACATTCATCTTTAATGCAAAATGCGTTAATCCGAATATGGTTTATTTTACACTGAGAGAAAGTCAGCTCTGTTCACTCTCTCTGAATCTCTGAAGATTTGATGGCTGCGAGCCAGTGTAGAGACAAGCCCTTGGAACTGAACTCTTGACTGCTGTCATCTCGCGAGGATTGTGACTTCCAATGCAGCCTGTAACCGTAACCTGCAATCCGGCATCCGCATTGATTTGCAAATTTTCAGCCTGACTTCAGATTCGTGTCACAGAGGCAGGGAAGGGCAGCCCCTTCCACTCCCACTGCTGCCATTGCACTTGCACTTGACATCCCCATGGCCTCATTCCGGCCAGGCAATGTCAGCGGCTTTGAATGGGTGAATGGGTGAATGGATGAAAGGGTGGCAGTGCCGGCCAGCTGGTGCTCTGCCTCTCCCTCTCTGGTGCTCTCTCACTTATTAGTTTGTGATTGGATGGATGCCTTTTTGCGGCATAATGCCGAGCCGTGGCTAGCTGCCACTCGCCGTGGCATTACTCCAGCTTGTTCCTGCTACTTGTGGCTTGTTTCTTGTTCCTTGTGCCTTGTGCCTTGTGCCTTGTTCCTTGTCGAAGCCATGATGATGATGCCACTTCATTAGCGACCCGCTCCGGGACAGAGACTCAGGTTTAGATGAGTGCTTATGAAGGAGGCTCCAGTTTCCAGTCACCAGTTTCCAGTTGCCACTTGCCAGTTACAGGTTTAGCAGCATCTCCTTTACCCTACTCGTGCTCCTGCTCCTACTCCTTCTACTTTTCGCCTTCTCCTCCTGCTTTTTGCATCTGCTTCTGTACTTCGTCTCTGTCTATCGTTTATTTGCGCTTGTTTTCCCCCGTGCGGCTTTATTATTGTGTTCTGTGCCAATTTCCGCTGCCGACAAATGCGTTTTGTAAATAAAATGTCAAAAGGATTTTCGAGACGAGAGCCGAAGGAGCAAAAAACGAATCCCCTGTCTGAATGGGCTGGCCAGACGTCGAGCAGCAGCAGAGTGGAGCTCCAGTCGGAGTTGGAGTGAGCAAGTGGCTCCTGTCATCTTTTCATTTGTCGATTTGCCGCCATACAGGGTCTCCCATTTCTTAGGAATTTTTTTGTTTTGCACTCTGCTTATATCGTACGATGTAATTACTCTTAAAAATATGCTCAGTTTGCCACGGATTTGTGGTGCCCCGAGTAGGGGCATGGCAGTTCCTCTTGGGGTGCAGACACCCTGTATGTGGGCCGTTAACTTGACGC